CCTCAGGCAATTAAACTCAGTGCTCTAATTGGGGTGAGGCCCAAGCAGTGGAGTGAGTAGGATTTAGCCCAGTGGATAGTGGGTCTGAAGAGCAGGGGCCCCCTGCAGGCAGGCACCTCGGCCCTCTTGGCCAATCTGGGCAGGGCTTGGTCCATTAATCTGACTCAATGGTCTTTCCCTATTGGGAATCAGGCAGAGGGAGCAACACAGCTGTAACAGTGGTCATTATCCCCAGGGAATTGCCCTGTCCTCGGTACTGAAAAACCTGGGCATTTAACTTTGCTCATTGAATGGTCACTGGTGGCTTCCTCCAGGTGCTTTCTCTCATTCCTACTTCTCACTCCCTCTTCTCCATTTCTCCCTCATCCTCCCCCCCGTTCTGACTTTCCTTCCACTGCCACTCTCTCTCTCCTCTTTCCCTTTCTTTTTTCCCTCTCTTCCCAGGTTCTCCCTCCCTTCTCTTCCTCCCCTTAACTCTCACTTCTATTCACTCCCTCCTTCCTTTCTTTCCTCCTTCCTTAACTCTCCCTCCCATTCCCTAATTGTCCCTCTCTCCTCCTTTCTTTGTCGCCTTCTTCTGTCTTTCCCCCTCATTCCTTCTTTTTTCTCTCATTATTATTTCCCCTTTTCCTTTCCCCCAATTCTTCCTCCTCTCTACCTCCCCTGTTCTCTGTCTCTCCCACCCTCTTTTTCCCGTTTCCCTCTTTCACCTTCCCAGGATGCCTTCCCTCCTTTCTCTCCCTCATCTGTGATTCTCTCATTCTATCCCTCCTTTCTTCTGATATCTCCTTGTCCTGCCTCTCGTTACCCTTTCTCTTCTTCAAGTTTGCCCTTCCTTTCCCATCACTCTGCCCTGTGGTCTTCCCTTTCAGGGTTCAGAGCACGAAAGTTATGAAAAAGCGTTATGGGGTGGTGGAATAAGCATTGAACTTAGGGTATTTCCATAGAACATCCAGCACTTTCTGGCTTGTGATGTTGGGCAGGTCACTTCACATCTCAGCCTCAATCTCCTTATCCTCCAAAAAATGGGGTGATTACACATGTATTACCTCCCTTCCATGGCTGTTGTAAGGAAAGGTCTTTGCAAATCTTAAGGTTCCGTAACTGGGATCTTGGTCCTCTGGTCCTTCAAGGTTTGCAGAGTACCACAGCCCTAGGAAGGTGGTAATACAAGTATTTTATGATGTGAGAAATTGAGTCTCAGTTGGTAAGCATTTATTAAGCACCTACAATGTGCCCAGCACTATGCTAATCTCCAGGAATATAAAGCAAGGCAAAAATAGTACTCATTCTCTGGGAACTTAGAATCTCAGTCAACTAAGATTTATTGAACACCTACTATGTGCAAATACAAAGGAAGGTTAAAAAAACAGCTCCTGCTCTTGAGGGGCTCATAGTCTCAGGGACTCAGAGAGAATTGACTAGTTTTTTTTAATCATGTCTTTTTATACTGTGCCTTTCTCCAATGATCTAAGGTGATAAAAAATGAAACAAATCCCTGTTGGGGTGGTTGGCCCCAAGGCTTTTTGCCTCCCCCTCCCCAAACTCAGTCTCAGGAAGAAGACAGGAAGCCCAACTGGTAAGTGCTGTGAAAGCTAGTTCTGGGGGTCCCATAGGTCTGGACCCTGCGCTCCTCCTACCTCTTAGTCACATGTACCGCAGACGTGAGCATGAAGGTGCCCCCCACTAGGATCCCCTCCCCCAAAGCCCAATTTAGCGCCATAGGGGTTGAGAGTTTATCACCTGTGATTGAAGCGTCTGTCTGTACCAGGCTAGTGCCTAGATATGCCATCTGCCCGTGACTGGGAATTTGGATTGGCACCCGCTGTCTCACCCAGAGGTTCCCACAAAGCTGTCTTTTGGTTTATAGCTAACGTGTATCTCATGTTCTTTGTTCTTGACAGCTTATTTTTAATCAGCTGTAGCACAGTATGAAGGAGAGAGGACTGGGATGGGAGCTGGGAGGATTGGCTCTAGTCCCAGCTCTCTCAATAATTCAAGGTGTGGTTTTCAGTAAGTTTTGCCAACTCTCATCTGAGGACTCAGTTTCCTCATCCAGGATCACACAAGCAGAGATTTAGAGCTGGAAAGGATTTCAGAAATAACAGTAATAACAACCACAAAGAGGAAGAGGAGAAGGACGTTGATTCCCAACATTTACATAGTGCTAACTGTATACCGGACACTGTGCTAAGGGCTTCATGATTATTATCACATTTGATCCTCACAACAACCTTTGGAGGTAGGTGCTATTATTATCCCCATTTTACAGATGAGGAAAACAAGTGACTTGCCCAGGGTCACATAACTATGAAGTTTCTGAGGCTGGATTTGAACTCAGGTCTTCCTGACTGCAAGCTTAATACTCTATCCACTGTGCCAGCTGAAAGGGACCACAGAGGCTAACTAGTCTAACTCTCTCATTTTAGAGAAGAGGAAACAAGTTCAGGGATGTAAAGTGATTTTCCCAACATTGTACATGAAGTGTCAAAGGTAAGATTTGAATACAGGCCCTCATATTCAATAGCCAGGTCTATTTCCAATGTGGAACATTACCTCTAGGTCATCTAGTCCCACTACCTTATTTCAAAGATAAGGAACTGTGGTCCAGAAAGGATGAATCACAAATAATGTTGGGGAGGTCAGGATTCAAACCCATGTGACTCCGTCCAGTGAAAAGGTTGAATTTGTGGAATTGTGGGATTTATAACTGGAGGGGACTTTAGAGATAACTTATCCAACCTATCCATTTGATAGATGAAGAAACTGAAATCCCAAGATGATTGAGGACTTCTCCAAACTTGAATGTGCAACAAATGGCATATGTGAGATTTGAACTAGGGCTTTCTCATCCCAAATTCATCACCAAGATTCCCTCTAACTCTTAATTGTCCAAGCCTAATGTCTACTTCAGAACTTCGTCATCCTTGTCTCTGAAAAATCTCAGTCTCTGGGCTAGGCTGTTAGAGGGTGGCCAGTGGGGGACACCAATGGGGTATAAGGTCTTCGGGGAGCACCGGGGTTATAAAGTATGTAAGGAAATCAGACAAGTCAACAAAGGCTGTTGGCAGGCATATATGTCTTGAGTTAGAAATTCTTTTACTGTTGTAAAGAAAGCACTCAATTTAGAGGAAGTATCTGATTTCAGATCCCAGAGCTGCTCTTCACTATTTATGTGCAGTGGAAAAGACATTAGATTTGGAATCAGTGGGTCTGGGTTCAAATCTTGACACTTCCATGTACTGGCTATGTGACTATGTGCAAGTCACTTAACTTTTCTGGGCCTCAGAGATGGCTACTGAGCTCCCTCTCCCTGAACCCATCCCCCTCCAAAATTAGCAGGGAGCAACCTTTCTCCCCTACCACGGGGCCTGAATCCCTTCTTCCTTCTCTTCACCCAAAGAAATCAGAAGGGGCTTTCAGAAGGGATTTACCAGCATTAAAGGGAAGGCAGGTAAAGTTAAACAAACTTGAACCATTGGATAATAGCACCTACCTCCCAGGGTTATGTTATGAAGATGAGATGACATTTGTGAAGCATTTTGCAGACCTTAAAGGTCTATATAAATGCTAGCTCTGGTGATTATTATATAATGCTTTGCAAATCCAGTCTCATTTGATGCTAATAACAACCACGAAAAATTGTTGCTATTATTATCTCCATTTTACAAATGGAGAAACTGATTCTGAGGGAGGTTAAGAGCTTTGCCCAGGGTCACATAATAAATGTCTGACACAGGATTTGAATTCAGGTTTCCTTACTCCAGGTCCAACACTCCATCCTCTAGGTCACCCAGCAGTTCCTTCCTTTTATCTTCTTTCTGTTATCTCTTCCACATGACAGCCATTGAGGTGTTTCCCCTTAATTTCTCTCTTCTCTTGGCTGAGTTTCTTCAGTTAAGAAGCAGAGGACGGTCAAAGGTGCCTTGAATTTGTAGCTAGAGCCTCTGGATCTCAGTCTTGGCTCTTCTGTTTAATTGTTTAACCTTGGAGCAGGCACTCTGAGCCTCCATTTTCTGCTCTGTAGAATAGGATTAGTACTCGTACTTTCTACCAGACAGAATTGCTGTGGGGAATGTGCTTTGAAAACCTTTAGGTGATAAAGAAATATGAATGATTGTGATGTGGTATCAATACCCTTCACCATCGTGGTCACCTTCCTGTGGACAAGATTGTCCTGGTGCCTTTGTAGACTACTCTAGCCCTAATTTCAGGCTGCATGGAGAAGTCATGTCCACGATTAGGGAGAGGATGGCCCCACAGTCAGGTAACATCTGGTGTCTTGTATTCAATTCACATTTTAGGAAGAACATTGCTAACCTGGAGACTGTCCAGAGAAGGGCAACCAGCATGGTGAAGGCCCTTGATTCTGTCATATGGGGATGAGTTGAAGGAACTAAAGATGTTTGGCCTGGGGAAGACTTGGTGAGGGGAGGGGGGAGGAGGACAGAAATGGGACATAATTGTCTTCCAGTGGTTGAAGTCATGGGGAAGAGGGTTTGGACTTGTTTTGCTTGGTCTTATAAGATGAAAATTGCAACTACTTGGGCTTCCTCTATAAAATTCCCAATAACCACAGCTTTCCCAAAGTGGGATGGGCTGCTTTTGGAGGTCATGTGTTTCTCTTTCTTGGAGGTCTTCATACAAATGTTGGAAAGAGGATTCTTTTTTAAGTTATGAATTGGATTGGATGGCCTCAGAGGTGCCTTCCAGCTCTGAGTGTGTGGCCCAGGCCTGCCATCTCACAGTCTCTTAGTCACAAGGGGGAGCAGGTGTGAGAGTGTGGCTGCCTCAATGATTCACAGCCTTGCGGTTGGAGACACATGTCAGAACAGAAGCTCATGGTGGGTGGGGAGCTTTGCCTTTTATTCTTAGGACAGGGTGATCTATGATGGCCTCTGGCAGCCTCCCACCCTTCTTCCTACCAAAGCCTTGCCCAGGACAGTCCCAGCACCACCACCACCACCCCCTTGTTAACCTGAATGTTCTTCTCTCTGCAGTGCATGGTGGCACCACAGTGGACAGGACATCATTCTCCCTGCCTCCGGGCACCAGTCCCTTTGCATCCTGACACCATCTGACCCAGGTAGGGCCAGGGAAAAGGCAAACTCATGTACTTACCTCATGTTCCATGGGGATGGTGGGTACTGGGTATGTATGTGTGGGGGAGAAATTCTTCAAGGCCACATGGCCAGTTCTAATTTTATTTTGGCTCATTAAGTCCACATTGGCTTTGGACTATGGTCTCTTCTCTCTAACCATCAAATCCTTCCTTCTTCTCTCTGAGCCTTACTGGGACCTCAGAGCACCAAGTACCAAGCCCAAGTACATGACTGGGAGTGAGTGGGGTAGCTGACATTGAGGTTCCCATCAGAAGTCTGAATGGAACAATCCTTCCAGAAATTCTCATGGGCCTGTAAGGGCCACGCCCCTCAGAGTCCACTAAAGCCATCCAAAGCCGCAGCCTCCCCCGTGGAGGATTCCCTCTTAAATTTCTGCTATCTCCTGTTAAAGATGACTTGAGGTAGAACAAAAGAAGCCTTTGTAATGCACAGTTTTGCAATGTAGTTTGGGTATCAGCATCTCATAACCACCCACTCCAAGGATCCTGTCTCATCTAATACGGGTACACCCCAAGAGAATATTGAAAGATGTAGGAGATGTTTGTAAAGTATGTTAGCTGTCAATAACATTGGAGTACAAACTCGTGACTATCAACCCTTTGGTATCTTCTGTTCTCAGATTTCCAGTAGTTTACAGCACAATCCAATAGAAAAAACTTTCCCAGGGCCATGTACAACATGTGAGAACACAGGCACAAGACACTCAGAGTAAGCCACCCAAATAATGAATCTCCCTTGAGCCATACTGCTCTCCCATCAAAAAATTCTATCTGGGTCCCTTGTTCACCTCTCCATCACACTCAGCTCTACAGCCATAAAATAAGGGCTGGCCTAAATACTGGCCCAGAGACCTGAGTTCTCCCTGCTAGCTTATACTACCTCCAGGCGATCTCAGTGGGAATGAGACTGGTGCTCTCACTGAGATTCGTGCAGCAGCTGCTGCCCTCCTGCCCCTGCACCTCACCCAGTCTGCTGCCCAGATCTGGTAGTATTGGGGTGCTCGGCTACTCTTTGGATCCGTACTGCTCTGCAGCCATCCTTTAGGTCTTCCAAGTTCCCTATGGCACAGAGGTTCTTAACCTCTTTTGTCATGGACCCCTTTGATAATCTGGTAAAATCTATGGCCCCTTTCTCAGAATAATGCTTTTAAGTGCCTAAAATAAAATGCATCTTATTGCAAAGAAATCCAATTACAGTAAAATATAGTGAGCAAAATATTTCTTAAAAAACAAGTTCATGGATTCTACTCCAAGAACCCTTGTCCCAGACAAGTGTCTCAAGTGTCCCTAATAGGCACTTTGTCTTTTTTTTTTAATCCTTTGTCGTTTGGTTTCTAATTGAGGACATTTCTCAGCCTTCCATAGTAACAAGACTCTTCTTCCTGGGTCGGTATCTCTTCATTGTCTCTCTCCCCAGCATTGAGAGTATGTCTGAAATCTCATTTTCAGCCAACTCTAGCTGCTCTTTCCTTTTGGCCTCACCATCCACCACTTTCCCCAGAGTATTACCCATCACCCTCTTTCCCATCGGAGGGTATTGTAGGGCATACTCTGGGCACTTCAGGGTAGGGATGGGTATGTGGGAGGGAAATGTTGTTCACTTGGTGTATACTTGTGGGTATCTTCAGTTGGGTTTTATGTGTAGTTCATTTCTCCTTGGAAGATTTGGGCAGAGGATTAGCACATGCTTTGATCTGTAAAGTGACCTTGGAAGAGGGATTGAGATCCTGAGACCTTAATAACCTTATCGTTCTACAGTGTAAGTGGCCAGCAGGGAGAGGAGTAAAATGAATTCCTTCGAGATATCCCTTTGGCTCCTTCCTTGAGAAAGGAGTGAATGAGGGAGGTGTGGAGGAAGGAGAGGATGAAGTTCAAATAGAGGGGTGAGACTATGAGGTATTGGACCTGGAATCTTAGATTCACACAGATGTTGAGCAGGGAGGGACAGGACCTTGGTTGGAATTTTTGCTCTGTCATCTCCTGCCTTTGTGACCTCGGGCAAGCTATTCCAATTCTCTAAGCCTCTGTTTCCTCATTTGTAAAATGAGGCTGGCAGATTACATGACCTCAAATGTCCCTTCCTGCTTCAAGTCTATAGATCCTATGAAGAGGGTTCGGAACTGATGGTTTCATGTCTTTTGAATCCATTGGTTTAAGCTTTGCACTAAGTTTTTCTGTTGTTCTTGTTTCCTATTACTTGAGACTGTATCTATATGTATATATGTATGTATGTAGGTATGTATGTATGTATATATATAGAAAGGGGGGAGAGGGAGGGAGAGGGAGAATACACACACCCACACATTCTTCTTTTAACTCTTCTCTTATCCAACACAAATTAAGGTTAACATATTTATATATGTTAACATATGTAACTATAAATATTGGATATATATGTGTATATATTATATATAATGCATTAGAGGGAGAGAGAAAGAGAGGGAGGGAGAGAGAGAGAGAGAGAGAGAGAGAGAGAGAGAGAGAGAGAGAGAGAGAGAGAGAGAGAGAGAGAGAGAGAGAGATAATGAGAGAGGAGAATGCTTTTATTCCTTGCTAAAGTTGGGGATTCTGAGTACCCAGAGAAAAGCCAGGGAAGAGCGAGTTTAAGTTACCCTCCCAGCTCCCTCCATCCCAAAGTTAATATTCCAGGCTCTTAGAAATGAAAGACCAGAGAGAACATGAGAAAATACGCCTCCTTCTGTTCTCTACCAAGATAGGTACATGTTCTGTGCGTGCCTGTGGGGGCTGTTGGACCCTGCTGGACATTGCTGTCTGACTTAGTTGATAATCTGGTTAGCTGTGTTGCTTTTTCCTCTTGATTTTTATTTTGTGAAGGGATGGCTCATTGGATACGGAATATTTATTGACTGGCTGACTGACAGCATGGGAATAATGTACAAGTATCCATCCCTGCATGCAAAGCTTAGAAAAACCTGGCTAAATGTCTGATCTCCTTGGGCTTAGGAGTGTGCAGAGGTCTCTGACCTCTGGGATTCTCACCTGGGCTCAGAAGGAGAGGGCCTAGCAAGTTCTGCCCCTGGACCAAGTATGTATATTGGGGTTTGTGATGGAGTTTAGCCATCAAGCCATGAAGAAAGTATAATACGAGATGCTACAAGACTTCTACCAGTCACTCCTAGCATGAGGCTGTGGCTGCCATGGGGGATGGAGAGGGCATTAGGGTTTGCAGGTGAGGAAACACTCCTAGCATGAGACCACTAGTATGATGTTGACAGCACCCTCTAAATTTGCCACCCCAGGGCAAAACCCCACGGACTCTACCCTAGTTACAGCTCTCCCTGGGCTTTGTATTGGTAGTAAAGCCATATTTCTCTTCTTTTGCTGATCTGGGATTTTTAGTTATTAGCTGATTTAAAGGACTTCTGGGGGAGAGGTAGCATTTAGGGAATGGTAGAACATAAAGCCAGATTTTATATTTAGACAGTGGTAAAGGTTACAAAAGAGGCAGTGGGATATAGGGGTAAGAACGTTGAATTTGCAATTGGAAGACTTGGGTTCAAATTCCACCTTTGCCATATACTTTGGTGAAAACAAGTGACTTTTTATGTGACTGGGGAAAAACCACTTCTCTCTAGTCCTCAGTTTCCTTTGCTGTAAAATGAGACAGTTGGACTGTATCATTCCCAAGACCCCCTTCCATGTTATGATCCAGGTAATGAACCCTTTTGGGGGGAGAGTTGACCATAGTGATTGATGAAGATCGTCTAACTAAGGCATAGGAAGGATGTGATCAATATCAACAGAAGTACTATACTCCTCCATTGAAATCATGGATCCTGGAAGCACTGACCTCTAAGAACAAGCATGATACAGTGAAAAGAATACCAGTTCTGGATTCCAAGGACCTGGGTTCAGATCTCATCCCTCGTGTGACTTTGGGCAAGTCATTTAAAGGGATTAGACTAGATGGTCTCGGAGGTCCATTCCAAGGGACGTTCTAGAGCTGGTATGCCTTCACCCCAAGACATCTCAACAGGATCCTGTAAGGACAAAAAAAGAGACCTTGATGTGCCTGACACAAGAGGGCCAGGAAGTAGCAAGAGGGAAGATCTAGGTATAGAAAGGGGGAGAATCATAGGTTTAAAGTTAGAAGGGACTTTGGTGATTTCTAGACCAGGGGTTCTTCAATTTGTGTGTGTGTGTGTGTTATCGACCCATCTAGCCATCTAGGGAAGTCTATGGACCCCTTCTAAGAATAATGTTTTGTTTTGCTTTTGTTTTTTGATAGGCAGTGGGGTTAAGTGACTTGCCCAGGGTCACACAGATAGTAAGTGTCAGGTGTCTGAAGCCAGATCTGAACTCAGGTCCTTCTGGTTCCAGGGCCACTGCTCTATCCACTGCACCACCTAGCTGACCCTGAATAATGTTTTTAAATACATAAAATAAAATACATAGGATTATAACAGAAATCAATTACATCAAAATAAGATTATTGAAAAAATTTTAAATAAGTTTATGGACACCAGGTTAAGAACCCCCGGATCTAAACCACCTCATCATTCTATGTAGGAGGAAACAGAAGCCCAGAGAAGTGAGTTGTCTAAGTTCACACAGACAGTGAGTGTTGGAAGTAGGGTTCAAACCTGGAGCCCTTCTATGTATGATCTATCAGGATGTCCAGGACTTAACAACTTTCCCAGTCTATCCAGGGAGAGGTGAAAGGGAGGGTGCTTTGCATAGGGTGAAAGCAGAGTAGGGGGACAATTGCAAAGGAGAAGAAAGGAGGCAGAAAATAAGCCTTTTCCAAGGTTTCATTTTTGCTAGCTGTGGGTAAACAGAAGTAAATGTAAGCTCCATTCCCCTAGCTAGGGGCACTGAAGGGGAGAAGGATGGATGAAGGTGGATTTTCACAGGAGTGAATGGGCAGAGGCAGAGAAACAAACAGCCCCCCTTCTCCCCAGCCCCAGTGATACATAGCTGAACTCAAGAGGCCAAGCGCCGAA